ACCAAAGAGCACCCAGGAGAGAAATAATCCCTACATGCAATACGACCTCAACCTTTGTATCGTAAATTCTTCCATTCAACATAGTTTCATAGCTCCGAGATCAACTGAGCAAGATTGTCTCTCACACACACACACACACACACACACACAAACACATTACCTGTGTATAGGTGTCGTGTATAAACACAGTTTCTGTCTGATCAGCAGGAGAGGAGCAGGATGCTGTTTTGAGCAGTAAACACAGCATTTGGATGCCAGACAGAACGAACAGAGTGTTAAAGTTGTGGTGTAACTTTTGCGCTGTGCAGTGCTGCAATTTGGATCAGCTACCATTCAGTATCATCACTATGACTTCTAAAAAGTTACTGGTACGGGAATCCGAATGTTTCTGAACATTACCCGGCCTAACAAAGACTAGAGGTTTGATCAAGGGAAATAGTTACAAACTAACAGTTCTGAAAAGTTATTATTTCATGGTCTTGCTATCATTTAATCTGTTACTATCAAACTAGCCTAAACCGCTGTGTTGTGCTGCATAGTCAAATAAGTCAAAATTGGACCAAGATATTTCCTAAACATTATTTTTCAGACGGACAAATCCTGAGAAAATGTTCTTAGTTGGAGACTATGAACGATAGATTAACAATATTCAAATATAAATGCATGTATCGCATAGGTTTAAACATTCCCATTAGGGGTGTAACGATTCATTCCCTGAATCGATTAATCGATTTATATTCCTGCGATCCAACTGAATCGATCTGTGCTCTGCAAATTGACATTCCGGACGACATATATCAATTACAAATCGATTAAAATGGTACATAATCGATTGTATCGATACTTGGAAACTGCACATTGGATTTAAGTACAAAAACGGCATGGATGTGTGTTTGTTTGTTTGTTTTTTAGCACTTGATGTCTGCCTGTCTGTAACGTCATCAGTACGCAGCGGCAGCCTCGCTTGACTCGGAACAACAACAAAACACAGAGTGGAGGAGACGACTGCGAGCAAGACATTTACAAACCAACTTATCGTTTGGCTTTTGTAAACATGGAGGTGTTCTAAATAAGTCGGCCGCTGTTTGTAGAATATGTAGAAGCCAAATAAAAACCACGGAAACACAACGAATCTTTCCGGCCATCTACTAAGGCGCCGTGCGATTAAACAACGCCGACAGTCAGGCGCCTCTAGCAGCGTTACCGCTGCAGCAGCAGCAGCAGGTAACTCCAGCTCTGCAGACACCTCAGGCCTCGCCAGCACCAAACTCAACATTACAGTAACAATTGCCAAGTTTATCTGTAAAGACATGCGACCCTACAATGTGGTTGAAAATCCGGGGTTCTGTGAATTGATCCAAACATTGTGTAATTATTGTGTAATGTTTATATTGAAAATGGCACTTGATTCAAATAAAAGGTTAATACATTTGCCATTAATTGTTGTTTGCTTGTTTATAATATCCATAATTAATTGAAACCTGATTTCCAACAACAGGGATCTCAGAAACTTTGCCTGCACTGTCCAGTAAAGTTACTGAATCGATTTCAAGTCACTGAATCGAATCGTTCTAAATTAACCCAGATCGTCCATGAATCGAATCGGCAACCATGGATCGCGATTCGAATCAAACAAATCGTTGTTAAAATAAATCGTTACACCCCTAATTCCCATGCATTATTATCGTATGATGGAAACCGTAGTGTTTTTCAGCAAAAGTTTTAAATGATCTCCTCAATCGTCCCTGTATGACACGACACGCAGCTGGCCTCCACCCAAACCTCCCACGATCACATTGTTAAAAAGGAGAAATTAGGAGAAAGGAATGAATTAGAACATGACCCTGCACTTTTGAGAAAATAGTAAACAAATCTGTTGCCAACTGAGATCCAAACACACACCTCGATTACAACAGTCACGTGTGGCTTCATGACAATGTTTGCTTGTCCCTCTAAATCACACCTCCAAGTTCAAACATATTAAATAATTTAGCAGTAAATTGTATATTAAGTAAATCTTAAACCAAAAGACTGTCAATTGAAACTGGAACAGCAGAATAAAGGCGAGGGCCAAACAAAGCATTACAAATGACTTCAAACAAATGTTGCCTCAGTAAAGACAATTCCCAGACCTCCGAGACAATCACTAGACCGTGCTTTAAAAAAAAATCAGACCGACCAGAGCGTGTTTTCCCTCCTCTCCAGCTGCCAACTGTGGGATGGATGGAAGACCGTTTTATTCCCAACGCTTATCAAAAGTGTTGTGTCTCAACAATATATAACATCATTCAAAACATCGCTTGCCCCTTTTTTGACCATCCGAAAAATACCTGGGAAGAGGAGTTCAACTACCATACGAGACCTACGAAACACACAAATCCTTAATCTGTGTAAGACCCAAGAGCACTGCGGCAGAAAGGTTTCATCGCTAGCATCTAGACACCGTGACTTCGCCGCATTGAACCCCGACGTTGCTCCGACCGTCCTTGTGTGTCACGATGGCCCCACTGCTCTCTATCAGAAGGCTTTTTTTTTTTCCTGTCGTTCAATTGGCCCATTTTGGTCCTCTCAGTTTGGAACATTTGCACAGATGTACAATAGCACCAAACCAGGCAGCAAGTCTGGATCTGAAAATTGAAGGCAATGCAGAAGTGCCTGACATGTGCATTGTTTCTAATCCGATTGTATAGAAGTCGATTACAAAATGACCCTACTTGATTGTTACCACAATAGCGATTGCAAACATGAGTTTCCAAACAGCATGATAATCATTCAGTGGATGATGGTTAAATTTATATTAAAAATAGAGGGCAATGTAAGGTATGCTTTAGGACGAGGCTGCCCTCCGTGATTGACAACTTGCTACCATGGTGTTGTGTGTCTACACAAGGTGTAGACACACACATACATGTATAAACATTTACACAGAGCCATGTTTAGAAATCTCACACAGAGACGCACATGGAGCGGATCTTTGTCTCTCTCTCTGCAGTCTAAACAGCCCATTCTGCAGATACTAAACAGACTCAACAGACCTGCTGCTGCTGCTAAGAGGGAGACACGTAGAGATGGATTTACAGAAGAAGATCTCAAAGGGAGGATTCCCAGTCCTGACTGCAATCCTCCTGATGTTAATCTGAATATGAAGTGATACCGGACGGGGCTAAATCAGCAGTAACGGTAACCATGCCAACCAGCATCTCAAACCCTTCTCATCTCCACAGCACTCTTACATTATATTGACTGGTCTGCTCAGCCATTTGAATAACCTGTGATTTGAGTCTAAAAAGGAAATAATCATTCTGACGTGGTTTTCCCAAGATGACTAAGATTAATAATCTGTTCTAAACCATTATGTAGAGTTCTGCACATCCCTTGGTGTGCGCAATTGAGGAATTGCAATCTCGTTTAGTGTTGTTCGGAGAAGGCCATTCATTCAATGCTTAAATCAGCCATTGACTATAGTGACATTATATACATTCACCCAAGCTGCCAGCCCCTCACACGCAACCAAAACTAAGGCAACAGGAAAATCAAGAGTTACAAAGTGTTTCAACCCCTCACTGCAAAATCTTTTGTATCATAACCAAACAAATTGTACAACTCCTATCTGGAAAACACACACGTCTAAACGTGATGTCGATCTGCTAGCTATTACAACAAAGTATGATAAGTGAAAAAAAATTTACAGCTTCAATCTGGAAAACACAGATGATTCTGCTGAGAAACACATCAAAATATATGATGTGGAAACAGTCAGCTGACTAGGCCAAAATGAGGACATACTGAACAACTGAATGACCAGAAAACCATATCACACGTTGCTTATTTTTTTCAGCAGACAGTCAGAAAAACTCAAGATCTTCGATTTAAAAGATATATAAAAAACACGAGGAAGAGAATCCCTCATTTGCATATTTAAACAAATTTGTCTTTTTAGTAATATCCCATATCTAGCTGTATTCTTTGTTTACCTTATTCACCTGGGCTGTGCTTTTGAAATATGAAATGAAGTATTAAATAAATAAAGCATTTAAAATGCTGGAATCACGGGTAACAAAAGAAACATTTGAAACGTACTACATCCCTTGTACACAAAAAAATGTGTGACTATAGTCTCATTGACATTGTCTCTGAAAGCGCACTCGAGCTTAATGAAAAGAAAATAGTTGGAGTAAAAATAGAGTGTTTTGAATAATTCAAATTGGGGACATTTGGGAAAAAAAGAAAACACCAAAAGGTCATTGCCGTTCTGACAGCAGGGGGAAAGTTAACGTGAAGCAGATAAACTGGACATTGTCATTCAGTGATGTAGCTTAAATATTGTAAGAAGAACTGTCCCTTAGCAATTTGACAGAACATAAATCAATTCAAGTAAACTCCAGCAGTGCTCAGTGCAACTATCCCACAGCTTTTGACTTGTTGCTGTCATTCACATCCAGCAGTAATAGTAAAACCTCCTTTTGAATCATTTGTTGATGGGAAATGCCAGTAGTTGTTTACTTCGCTTTCATCTCATTACAAATAAAATATCTTAGTTACAGAAAATAATTTATAATATACATGCATCATTTCCGGCTTCAGTCATTACCCAACTGAAGCATGAATCTGTGATGAAAATTATGTATTTTTGTCAGCTTAACTTTTGTGAGTGCAGCCTACATCTATGTGTGCAGCTTATTCAGTATATCGACTGACAGTCAATAGGGACAAGCTGGTAAAATAAAAAAAGAAGAACGAAAAGCACCAGTTCAAACCCAGTGAGCTCATTATTGGAACAGGTGTTGGCTGTAACCATGGCACCGAGCCAGGGAAAGTTACGCCGTACAGGGTAACCCCCCCACACTCACACACACACACACACACACACACACACACACACACACACACCGTATTTCTTCAGACAAATGTGCGTAGCCCAAAAAGTGACGGACACCATGCAAATGGGACAGACGCGCACGCGCCGCACAGTCTAGCGCGAAAGAGGAACGTGCACTAACCGTCGCCTTGATGGGCACGTACAGCACCGGCCTGTCCGACGGCCCGTTCCTGCTGTCCTGCAGCGTCCCGACCTGGAAGCCCTTGGACTTGACCCAGAATTTGAATTTGGCGTTGATGTGGTTGTTGCTTTTCTCGTGCGCGAACCCCCCGTTGTTGATGCTGTTGTTGCCGCTGCCGTTCTCCTCGTCCCCCTGGATCAGGGTCTGGAGGATTTTGTGGTATTTACGCCGGGTGACGGTCTTGGTCTTGCCGGAGTCCCCGTAAGTCCGCAGGCACCAGTCCTGAAATTCCCCGAACATCTCCGCCCCTCCGCCCGCCGCCTCGGACGCCTGGACGCCGCCGGTGGGACTCCCGCTCCTCGACTGGTGGGTGGAGGTGGTGGTGGTGTTGTTGGAGGTGGACGTGGTCACCGTGTCCGACGCGCTGCCGGCTTTTCTCGTTGTCATGATCAAACTAGAGAGTCCCTTTTTTCTCTTCAAAGACACTATTTGGTTTTCCCGTAAAAGGCGGCTCTCTGCCTTCTCCCCGGGGGGGCGAAATCAGCCCAACGCCGCCAAGCCGGTGGAGGAAGAAAAAAAAAAAGGAAAACAAACAAAATTTTCAAATCTTCTCTTCAGCTTTCAAAATAACCATTTCAACCCCGTAAACTGTCTCCATACCCACAACAAAAAAACATGGACAACGCTACAAAGTCCCACACGGTTGTTTTTGTGTTGTATTAAATTAACGTCTGAAAATCAGACGTTTGGACCCCCTCACCTCACCGACTCCCCCCCTCCCCCCGTCTCCTGCGCCCCCTCCGCCGGTTCGCACTAACGGCCAGTTGCGGCGAGACCGAGATGAGGAAAAGAAGACCAAAACAATTTAAAAAAGGGGATGTCAAAAAACAAATTTTACTCCGAACACCAGTCCCCCCTTACTTGGATGCAATTTACCCAGGAACAATGAGACACGAGAGGGGACGCGGGGAGGCGAGGAAAGGAAGGAAGGGACGAAGAGAAGGAGGGGGCGCAACGACCGACCCGGATGATTGGCGCGTGGTGCCCTCTTCAGACACACCTGTTAGATGCGTGGCTCGGTCGGCCCGTCCCGTGGGGGCAGTCAGTCACCGCCTCCTCTCTCTCTCTCTCTCTCTCTCTCTCTCTCTCTCTCTCTCCCCGGAGGACCCGCAGGGGCACGGCCGGTTATCTCTCCCCGTCTCTCCCTCTCTCCTTTAAAAAAAAACAGTGTGTGTCGGGATGCGTTTCTCCTGGTTTGAGGACGTCGGGTCTCCGGGGCCGTTGAGCCGAGGACGCGTAGATTGAGGTTCAGAGAAAGAGGCGACGGGTCCTCAAATAAGCGGATTGATTTTGCCCCCTTTTTTTTCGTCCTCCAATAATAAAAATAGTACCCCCCCACACGCACTCCGTTTCGTCACCTTTTCCCTCCCTCTTCCTCGGGCTGGTGGAAGGCAGCCTTGGGGGGACACCTGTTTGAATGCGGGGTTTTTCTTCGCTCTCTCTTCGCCCCCCCCCCCCCCCGCTTTAAAGCGCAACACAACGCCTCGGTTTCCTCCTCCTCGAATAGACGAAGACGGTGCAGCAGCGACCGGTGGAAGGCAACAGCACCGCGACCTCTTTGCTGCTTCTCAAAAAAGGCGGCGTTAGTCCTGGACGGTGTCCCCGTTGCCGCTTGCTGCGTGTCCACCCGGATCCTGGGTCCCACGGGACGTGCGCGTTGCAGGTCGAGATCAACAACAATTTAAAAAAAAAAAATTAAAAACAGGAAGTGTCCACAAAAAAAAAAACGACCGAAACCCTCAGCGCGCTCAACCAGACGGTCCCGAGATGTCAAAGGGGGAGTAACAGTGAGTGAAGTGAGGACGAGGGGACAACCCCCAAAGAGAAAAAACAACTACTTCTGTTTTGAGATCTTCTTGTGAAAAATGAAAAAAAAAAACAATCACATCAAACATAAAAGAGTTCACGTGAAACTGACTTTTATTTGTTTGATAGCATTTTTCGGAAAGTTGTGTTTGATGCCCAAGTGGACTCGAGATATTCCACTTCTTTCAGGGGAGAAACAAATATGTGTTTGCATTTGAAGTGTTTTTACAATGTGTGAACATGAAAAAAAAGAAAGAACATTAATATGTTCACATTGGTCCAGAAATGAAATCTGAGCATTGGATGAAGCAAGGTTGGAAATGCTGGTTTTAATTGAGTTGACAGGAAAGAGTCAAAGGTCTTTACAGAGAGGATGTTGGACATCTTTTTGTATCACATACATCTGCCAAGAGCCATAGAAAACATATATTTTCACCACGTTTTAAGACGTAACATGTTCTATAAATCAGGCTCATATACAAACAAACCACTTTAAAACTATAAAAGCCATCATAAGACATTTGTTAAAAAAAAAATACAGATGGATGTTTTTCTGGCTCAGGTAAACCGATCAAAATGAAGACTACGGAGAAGTTGAGGCTACAACCGTTTGGCCAATTCTAATTTGGCATTGGCAACTGAAAGGCTGACGGTGGGAAATTCAGAAGGTGAAAAACTAATATCTAATCCGACCAAACAACCGGCTGGATGCCCCATAGCGACTCGGCAGGTCACTGACCTCCGAGGCTGTGACCTGTACCTGTCAGGTGTGCTGGGAAAAGCCTGCTTGAAACTGAAGCATTCTCTAAATTCTTATCTGTATGTATCTTTTGTCATTTTTCTTACGCAGCTCTTTGAACAACGTGATGTTTTTGTTAAAGAGGTTTTTATTGAATTAACCTGTGGTGCTTATCATTTTTAAAACAAACATAATCGAGACAAAACCTACGCAGCCCATGATGTAAGACGAGTAACACACATTTCAGTACTTTAATGGGAGTTTGTTTCCTAAAGTGCCTCAAAGCACAATGAGTTCATTTTTAGAATTAGACTTTCAATATTTGTGTCTAATTTCTGTGTGCAGCTCAACACAAATCGTTATGCGGAAAACCAAACAAAATGTGATCCCACCATTTAGACAGACATAACATGTTGCACACCTCTTGGATCAAACGGCGACCAACAACTCCAGTTTGTACGTCTTCCCCCGTTTGGTCTCGATCACTTTTCGGGTTTTTAGCCACAACAGCGCCCCTCCCCCAAACAAAGCAACTTGGACAACCCAGCTGAGTGTTCCAACCGTCACATCGCCTCCAACAGTCAGACGCAACCTTGAAATCGCTGGAGCGAGCAGTAGAACAGGACAATCTGTAGAAACAGATACAGTGCTCACATCAAAATACGTAAGCTGGCACTAAAGCAGGCTTCTCTAAACACTCCACCGGCACACAGCATCCTCCACCAGCCTGGGAGAGGAACACCACTCTGTTGGACTTGGAGTTATTAATGGGGGGGGAAAAGTTTATTCAATTCACAGTGTATATCCCAGAATGCATTGGAAGATGAATGGAAGTTTAAGTGAAGCTCGGCACATTTTATTGCTTGTCTTGCTCAGAGTGTCTTCATGGGCGCTGACAGTCATATTCTCATGGCATGAGAGATACTCATCACCGTCCAGATGTGAAATCTCTAGCTGTTATTACCAGGAGAGTATGAGAACACGTGAGGAACCACAGTATTCATCAGACATTATAATGTGAAAGGTTGGTGCTGCGTTGAATACATCTTAAGGAGCCCATAATGGGTAGGCCAAGGGGGAGCAACCTTTTTATAGGCATTACCATTTTCTTGCAAATTAAGTTGCCATGTTGACATTGAGGTTGACAAAGCTTAATTCTGACACCATATCAGAAATGTAAATTTCCAATGAATCCATAATTGTATTAGAACCACATAGAGCACTACTCAGGAAGGCCGCCATCCTCAGGAAAACATCCACATCTGAGTTTAATCTAATGAGATAAACTACTGTTGTTAGATGAAGCATCTACTGGTTTAAAACCTCAATACATTTATGATCTGCTTCTAAGTTATGAACTTAGTTTTTCTTTTAAATCAGGACCTAAGTGTTTGTAACTGCATCCGAATTAGCTTCACTAATCATTAATGCATTAAGTAGTGAGTAGTAGTGAGAATAGCCATGAGCACAAATTAGATTCTATTATTGATGTGCTTCTTTTCTTCATGCCTTTCATCTCTCTCATAAAGCACCTTAAATTGTCGTGGTGAAAGGTACGACACAAACCGAATGAGAAATGACAACCCTCACAACAAATTCATAGCACTCTGGCCTGCGGCGTTACCTTCTGCACTTCTCTTCCAAAATGACTCACATTTCATAGAACACAATACATTTGGGAGCAAACCAGTGTCATGCTCTGAAACACTTATCCAATATGTAGATAGAAGGACCCACTAACCCTCTGATTACTGGCTCTTGGAGTTGCAGTTATACTGTGTTTGTGCTCATGAATACATCAGCGTACATCTCTGTGTCAGTGTGTGAGTGTAAACATTTTCACTAACCTGGAGTACAGCAGCTTCTAGCAATCTTCTTCCAGAGCAGACCGGAAATCCTGGAGGGTATGAAATAATACCAATGGTTATTATAGCCAAGTGCTGTAGCTTTACTCAACAGTGTTCAGTCAGAACTATGGAAGGAGGTCATTTACCCATCAATCCAAATATCCCACCTTTAAAGCTTTTACACATTTAGGGCTTACGCAATGAATGGCAATAATGCCTTTAAGAAAAAGGCTCTGAATGAATTTGGATTCCCTCTGGAAAACAGTTAAGCAGTGTATATGTCAGGAGCTTTTATTATGAAAGGTAGCCTAAAACTAAAATTAGTATCATTTTATGTGTCAACATGATCGGGAATTTAAATATATAAACATTACTTACTTCCAAGTGATGATATTGATGATATTCACACTCCACAGGGGAGAAACTGACATCATTGTTACATTGAAGAACAAATCTGTTTGCACGACTTGTTCTCGCATGACGTCATTGTCCTAAACACAGTGAGATTAAACAAAAAAAAACAAAAAAGTTACGTATTTAGTACTTCAACACATGGAGACCAACCACAGACCAGCCAGCTTCAAACCGACAAACTTGGGTCTCAGCACCATGACAACGCACAGGGAAAAGCACCTGAAGCAGCCTACCTTTCCGTTTGTCTCCTCTGATCAGCGTGAGCCTTCAGCTGTGGAACAATGGCCGTCTTTGCTCATCCAGCAGCCTTGAACGTCAGTTACAGTTTAAGAAGGAGACACGTGTAAGGATATTGGTAGCTCAACATAAACCAGCCTGTTTTATCTTCATCCTTTGGTTCATTAGAATCATGCAGCAGGAAGATCAACTTATTCTGATGCTAAAATTTAGTAAAAAGGTGACTTTTTTGGGTATGCATTGCTTTTCAAGTGTATCCTTTCTTAATTAAAGCACTGAGGTGTTTTATGCACCATTATTGGCATGCTATCGAATTTGAAAAATGGAGGTTTCAACGATAAAAAAGTAAAGAACTGTAAAAGAGCTGAGATCAAGAGGTATGCAGATTTTCAAACATGCATTATTATGGGACTCATAACCTCCATTTTACCTCGAATACCAGCAGTTCTGACCTAAGCTCCATAATACATGTGTGGCAATTTGCAAAGCATTCGTCTCTCACCTGCTGACCAGCCTTGGAAATTCATTGTCATCACAACATTCTCTAACACGCCACAAAAGAGAAATAGGCAATAAATATCTTCCTACATATTGTCGTCAAAATTTGGAGAATTAAATGCAGAATTTATAAATAAATGGAAATGTGTGTGTGTG